TATTTGCCAGCTCTTTCCAGAAATTCAAGGAATGGCCCGATCTCTCGATATCCTGTTTCACACAAGTTTACCAGGTGTAATGAGGCGATCAATTTTTTTCTTCCCTGTGATTTATGATCGTTGTCTTCTTCAAAACTTCATCATCTTGATCTAAAGAAAAGAAAATCGCCACTCTGTCAAGCCAAATTCAAAGGTAGTACCTGTGTGATGTGGCATTCCAAAAGTGTTGAACCAAATGAATAATAATATTTTTTTGCAGCCATTAGTCTCAATTGTTTAGAAAAAAAAAACAATTCATTTTATAATTCTAAACTACACAATAATTTAATTTTGGTTTGTAGTTAAATTCCAACAAACTTTTGGTGTGCTACATCACAACTGGCATCACTAGAGTGCATTTTTCAAAATGTAAAGATGCAGATGAGCCCTGGGACCTGGTTGTAGTTAAGCATTCCTCAAGGTTATGCTAATGCCCAGGGATCATCACCTGGAGCTTTCATATTATGAAACTATTTAGTTATAGATTTTACTTCGTCCAAATCAGTCTCCCAGGAATCATATATCGAGCAACCTGTTTCTAGGGGCTGTTCATTAACTATGTAGACGTTTTTTTTTTTTTTAATTCTTGCCCCCCCCCCTGCGTAGCAATAGTCCATGCATTTTTTTTTTTATTTGTATGGGCCGTGGATAATTCTCACCCCCCCCCCCCAATAAACTGTCTATGTAGTTTATGAACAGCCCCCTAGTAAGACCCAAACTTAAATTATGGGAACTCTCAAAATGCTTAGCAAGTTTTTCCGTAATGTTAACGAAATTTTACCACCTTTAGGTGCTGGAATGGTTTTATTTTTTTTTTTGTGAGCTTCCAAAAGGGTTTCAAAAGTGGTGTTCCTCAGGGCCAAGAATCGCGTTTTAATTTGTTTTTGCTAATCCCGCTAGATAACTTTCATAGCAGGATCGCGTGTTCTTTGATATCGCCTCCTACGGACATTTTTTCAGACTGATCAAGAGCTGAAGATTGTCGTCTATTATCATTTAATCGAATTTAACCTCGCATTTTGGTACTGAGTCAGAGACTCAAGAGCATCATTTAAATCATCTTTGGTTTGCAAAGGAACATTTGGATCGAAGTGATATTCCATAAATGTTCGATATTGCTCCCGTGAGATGATCACCGCAATTCATGCTTTTAGCTGGCATATAGCATTTTTTTTGGTCTGTGACCTGGCACTTACGACACTGGGTGAGGTTTTGGAAATTTCTTCCGGTCTTCCTGAAGTGTTCCCACTTCACTCGAAAATGGAGCATAATTTTAGCTTTTTTCCAAGGCCTTAAGGGGGTATTCCCAATCTTTTGCCGTTTTTCGGCCTGTTTTTCAATTATTTTTTTTTTTCAAGGAAAATGAATAGTAATGCGCCTAACTCTTTGGGATTCTTGTTTATTGAACATTAAAGTTTACAAATAAATTTTTTTCGACATAAAAAAAGACATTATTGACGTCACAAAATGGCGGCAAACAGACCCCTGTTCGCCGCAAACGCCTGGACGGGCGAAGACTTTTCTCTGGAACGGCTTCATCTGAAACAGATTTCGTGATGAAATAATAATCTGCATAAGATTCTCTGGAGCTTCTCCCGTTGGCAGCAAAAAATCCAGCAAATTAACAAAATGGCGGCCATATGAAAAAACAGGCGATTTTTAGCCCGCTTTTTTGCAGCTTTAAGGTGCTTCAAACAATGTTAAATGTTAATATTTTTGGCTGAAAGTGGGAGAAGCTCCAAAGAATTTAATAAGGAACAAAATGCGCAAAGATTCAAGTCAATATCTCTTATAGTTTCTGAGAAAAATCTTCGCCCGATAAAAAAAATGTGGTTTCGAGAAAAACGCGTTTAAAGTTTTGACTTTAGTTAAAACCATTTGGGGGTTCTTACCATTAGTCAGCTATGCCTGGACACCGAATTCGCTGATGGGAAAACGGCTTGGGGGGATGAAAGTATATAGTCTAAAGTACAAAAAAACGTGAAAAAAAAAATTTGATTTTTTGAAAAAAAAGATCGGGAATACCCCCTTAAGGTTGTTTAGTTCACTAGATTTAAAGTGAACTAAATAAAAAGAAGTCTCGTTGCGTGAATCGCCAGGACGGGATTTCATTTTCATTTTGATGACTGGGATTGGTTCAACTCCAAGTAATTTTGTCAATGTATGTTTGATCTGATCTAGGGATTCACCACCGGGCAGACCTTTCAAGACAACCTTGAACAGACGTTTAGTGTTGGTGTCGTCAGTGAAAAAAAAATATGCTGCTTTTCAGTAAGATACTTGATAAGGCGCTTGAATCCGTCCAAGGTTTCAGTCAATACTCTAGAGATGGGCGATCCGCTTCCGAGCTGTTCTATAGACCCGAGTCTCTCAAGTGAGCTGATGACCCGCGGTTCATTTTTTAGGAACCGCAGCTCACCAGCTCACTGATATTACAAGTCTAAAACATTCAATACATCACTCATAGCGGAACTTTTCAAAAAAGGACTCATGCATAAGCGGTGTACGCATTGAACAGTCACCGCGTAAACCAAGACGCACGCGTAATACAACATGTGCCTACTGATCGACAGCACCAACGGTAAAAGCAAACTTCCAAGCGGCTGTGTGGGAGTGAGAGAAATCAGTTCATGTGCTACACGATGTTAATTTTCTAATGGTATTATCCCATTTATTTATGCACTCGGCTCTTATTCCTGGTGTTATTTCTGCAGCATACGTGCTCCCACTTCTCTTCCCATAATTCTCTGGGAGAGCGGAAGATCCGCACAAAAGCAAATAACCGAAAAGCGAAATGCAGCTCTCCAGCTTATCAGCTCTGCTCCGGGTCCGAATCATCGTTTCGAATGATTCACAGGGAGCGTTTAGGATGACAAGTCTCGGACCCGTCCAGCTCTTCGGATCTTTTTTCTCTCTCTCGATTCTTCACGATTCAGCTCCGGATCCGGATCTGAGCTGATGATCTGGAGCTGATGCCGAGAATAGTGAGAGAAATTCTGCTGGCGAATTAACATCAGAAATAAAATCTGAATGTAGACTGGATTGCATAGCTTGAGAAAAGGTGTAACATCATGTGACACAATGTCAATCATATCATCGCGTGTGACATAGGTGTAGCTGGCACGCTTTTTGGTTTACACGGTGGTTGATCAGTTAATGCGTTAGTAGTGTTTTCCATTGAAAAGTAAAGCCATGTTGTAAGGTACGGATTTATTGCTTTAGACTACTTTTACAATTTTATGCAGTTTTAAGCACTACAACCACTAATTAATTTTCCGATTTTGAATTTGTGTCATAATTTCTATAACTTCAATGTGAGCTGAAGAGCTGATCAAAAGAATAGACTTCCTTTAGTGAGCTGAATGAGTTTCATCCACTCAGCCAGATGAGCTGATTTGCTCACCTCTACAATACACGGCATACACCACGACGGCCAATTTGAAGTGAAAACTTGAATTTAATGAAGTTCAAACGTTCCGTGAAATCGGAAGTGGTTATCACAATAGGGAGGACCTTTTCATTCTTGGCATTAAGCTAGGAATGTTTAGTGGAATTTTGCCAGGATGATGGATAATTCTCATCATCAGTGAGCATATTAAATTGATTGCTCAAATAAATTTCATCAGAAGGGGATGAAGAGATTGCACTTTTTTTTTGCGTTTATGCGCCATGGCGGCAGTGAAGCGTTTCTCAAAATCGATTTCCAAGCAGATCGCTATAAGAATCCGAAGTATCGAATAGGAATTTTCCAAGTCGATGTCCAAGCAGGATTACCTCGTGTAGGGTCCAAACAAGGATCGAAGAGGAATAGGAGTCCAATAAGGTAGAATATGTACAGGTAGTATTGAGCACTGAAAAGGGCCGTTTAAATTTCCTGATGAATGTGGGCGGCTTAGTGGAATACCTGTATAAAGAGAGAGAGAGAAAGATTAGTAATTTCCATTTAATTCCACTACCTTATTTGCTTATCCTTGACAGATACGCGTATTTCGTCTACAATGTGCAGACTTCTTTAGTGTCTTGTACTAGGTAATACTCGACTTTACTCTACAGTCGAGTATTAGTACAAGACACTGAAGAAGTCTGCACATTGTAGACGAAATACGCGTAGCTGTCAAGAATAAGCAAGTAAGGTAGTGGAATTAAATGGAAATTACTAATCTTTCTCTCCTAACTTATTTACTCAACTTTTGCTAGTCTATCCTTAGTTTTAGCTGCCAATTATTCAATAATCAGTCCCTCATTTCCTGAACATATTTATGATGGTAATGCAATTGTTTCGAGCTATTCAGTTTTGGGCTTAAATTGCCATGCTTATCACTAGTAGTTGTAGTTTTTCGTGGAATACTGCTTTTGATTGACAGCAAGTTTTGAAAAAAAAAATAATACAGCAGGTTTTCAGGCGTAGATTCAACTTTATCAAGGGCCACCCACATTGACAGAAACCCCATACGCCAACGAAACGCAAACGTATCCATTGTGAACATTACAATTATTTATGCAAATTAATTTCTCTTTCCATATGTACTGTTGATAAAAAGTCACAAATTTAGTTCTTTAATATTAAAAAATAGATTTTTAAACATCATCTGAAAGAGCTTCTGAGCACAACAATATTTCAAACCCATAGATTTTCATCTCGATTAAAAGCAAAATAATAACTTCACTGTTTTACACAAAATACATTGACAGCAACAAAATCCCGAGGGGCACTAATATGGTAATTTCAATAATGTAATGGGATTTTTGACCCCCCCCCCCCCCTGCGTAGACAATTGTCCATACCCTTTTTTTTAGATTTGTATGGGCCGTGGATAATTGCCAACTCCCTCCCTAAACTGTCTACGTAGTTTATGAACAGCCCCTCACTAGTTCTTTGGATGTCATTAATTTCAAGACATTTTTAGCTATTATTTTCCTGTAATTTTGTTTTAACATTTCCTTATCTTTCACACACGCAGAAAAATGGAACACATCGAAGGTGTCGATCATCGAACTGATCGCTGCCATTCGAATTAGCGTCGAATGTGCCCTGCTCGATCCGGAAACCCAACTGCATGGAATTAAGGTCATCTTCGACACCGAAGGCCTTTCGATGTCGCAAATTGCCCAGAATACTCCCAAACACGCCTGCATGATTCTGGACTGGGTTCAAAAAGCGTGCCCTTTCCGGTTACAGGGCGTTCATGTCGTCAACAACTCGATGTTGTTCAACATCCTGTTCGCTATCTTCAAGCCGTTCATCTCCAAAGAACTACGCGAAAAGGTAACAAACAAACAAACAAACAAATACAAAATGCTCAATAAGTGCGTCACCGACTGTTGGCCAACAGTTAACGGAACCAGCAGCCAGATCATCTAGCATACGGGTACTAATGTATCATTTATTCATAACTTGCCCGTTTCCTAGATCTTCTTCCACAACAAAGACTGGAAATCGCTCGCGAAACAGATCAGCCCCAGCTGTTTGCGGCCCAAATACGGTGGATCACTGCCCGCTCCCGAGTACGAAGGTCGGCTGCTCGGTGATTTTCTGCAGCTATATGACAAACATTTTGATAGTAAGGAACTTGTTTCTTTTGAAAACCAGTTTGAACAAGCGTTATTTTTTATTCGTCTCTGCTCCTTCATTCTTGAAGCAAAAATAGCAAAAGCAAAAATAATCCGTTGATCGCTGAAAACTTCCTATTTATTGTACCTCTCTCATATTTTCAGCCCTCGATTCGTATGGATACGTTGATGCCGCCAGCCAGCGGAGATCAAAGTGATCGTATGATTCAATCCCATCGCGCAGCTGCTCGCCCTATTTGCCACTGCCTACTTAGCGACTCGACGATGAGACGATGCCTCATCAATACGCTGTCATTGCTATCCGAAACCTATATTTACCTATTTATTTGGAATCTCCAGTTGTAAAATGTTCTTTATCCGTTTGATATTTAAAAAATAAAACAAGCTAAGCTAGATAGTTCTTAAACTGATAGTTTTCCAACTGTTTCGATGACAAGACCTGACCTTAACTGAAAGGTTAAAATGTTTACCAAATCGTAATAAACCAAGCTTGCGAAGAGCAATAAAAATGCTATGGTCTCTCTCGGCAATCGGATTGCAAATCGAATGGGCTAGGTAAATTATGGTTGGATGGGGATGGGATCCACCCGGCTAACCACTTTCATGCATGGATGGCTAAACCAAGCGTTCTGATGCTGCTTGAATGCGTAATTAGTGACCACTAAGGTGGAATGGATGGAAGGTGGATGACACCGTCTTGCATGCGCAGTCCAGTTCAATAACAAACGGAGTGACTTGGATTTCGAAACGGATGGGTTGACTCTTGTGATGCGGTGATTCGATAACGCGTAAATTGTGTGGAACTCAGCAAATGTGTTTGCTCCTCTTTTAAGGTGGATAAGCTTCTTTAGAGGACACCAGGTAGACTTTACCCACGTACAACATCAAAATTGAATGACTGTTGAGCACTTTACTTCTTAGAGGAGGGGGTCAATTATGGGGGATAGTAAAACAAAGGATGGATTCTTTGCCTGCCATAAAAGCGTAAAATTACTTGAGTATGACTTTGGCCATCCAAAGGAGCACTATTTGAAGCTGGTGGCTAAATGTACTAACTCACCCGGTTTCTATCCAACCAAACTGTGAGTTCGTGAATGGCTTGCTTTGACCAATTAACTACACGGGTAGAAGGGAACAGCAAAACCAGAGCCAAGATAATAAATCAGTAAAAAAAAAATCAGTATGAAGCTCGGTATGAAGCAAGCAAGCGAGACACCGGACATTGATTGCGATTTTTTTCTAAAACTTAGCTATGAAAATAGTATAAATCACCTACCCTCTAGCATGTTCATCGTTGCACTGTCCAGTTTGGACTGTAGTTCCTCCATTTTCCTGCTGTTCTTCACTGAAAATTTTACGCTTAGCTTACAAATGGCGTAAGTCAACAAAGCAGCATGCAGCAAAGTTTGAAGTTTGTTTTTACCCATTAAGGGGCTGTTCATAAACTACGTTGACAGTTAAGGGGGGTGGGGGGAAGGTTAGGTATTATCCACGGCCCATACAAATTTTAATTTTTTTTGTACGGACAATTGTCTACGCATTGGGAGGGGGGGTCATTAATCCCAAAAAACTGTCTACGTAGTTAATGAACAGCCCCTAATGAGTATAAAAATACACAGAGGCGTTTGACGGGCATTTTCTTTACTGTGATTTTTTTTTCGCAGAAACGATTTCGGCATATTTTTAAAACAGTACCCGACCAACCGTTCGTGAAACTTCTTCAAAGTTCTTTATACAGAAATAAAGATTCATGTCGGCAATTCTTTACTTTAAATTTTCTATGATTTCGATGTACACATTTAAAAATTTTTATTGATCGATACTTACATTTAAGATTATTTCTTCATCGGTCATGTCATATGATAGTAATCTATAAAGGTGCCATACTAAATTTCTTTTAATTTCGATATGTCACATGGACTTTAGTATTCTTTACAAATATTCATCAATAAATATTTAAATACTGATATCATCGTAACTTTGAACTTTGACAAAGAACAACAAAGATTGCCATCGATGCACATTTATAATCTCCTTGTTATCGATTTGTATCGCTGGTTAAAGAGAGTTCGAGACACACCAGGTGACAGATGGCAATGTTTATATTATTTATCGACATATTCGGCATTTCATCCGAAGAAGCAATCTGCCGGTAAATGGACGAGAAGACCGATGGCCGCGACGCAGCAAATGTCTACCATTGTAGTTCTTCACGTTTTATATTTTATAACTCGTGATAGCATGCGTGGTGGGATTCTCGGCATTTCGAACCCAATGTGGAAAAATTGTTACCTTTTTGACCTCTATTACACCTACATGGCTGACTGGTTGATGGTTATGACAAATAAATATTGAATTCATGTATGAAAAGATTTACAGAAATTTCAATACACCACATACTAGAGTGTGTTTGCCTGTCGTTGATAAGCTCATCAACAGCAGCCGTGGACCCGAGGATTAGCAACCAACAACAAAATCAGTACACCTCAGATGGCATGGAATTGAAACTAGAAATTATGCAGATAAAAAAATCACAAATAAAATCAGCAGTTGTGTATCGATATTTTGATTTTACAACAGAAATCGATATTTTGATCTGGCAACACAATCGATATTTTTTTTTATTTAAACATGTGTACAGTAGTCGTTTGGCGTGGTTCGATTTTAGCAACAAAATCACAAAACCGTTCGCTTTTGGCACGGGGTTTAATTGTGGCAACGAGCCAAGATTGAACGGAATTTGAAAACAGTGTGTTTTTGCTCCTTGTGATTACAACTTTTAATAAAAGATTCATTATTAGTAGTACCGTCTATGCCTCGCAGTGGTCCAAAGTCAACAAAATCATAAATTGAATTTCAAAATAAGACCGTTCGATTTTGGCAACAATAAATTTTCGGGCTTACTGCCAAAACCAAAGGAAATAGGTGGATTTAAAGTTTGTTAATAAACGTTTTACATCTTGTACGCGAAAACCCAACCCTCTTACCCAACATCCCAGTGATTCCTCGTGGAAGTGGGACACATTTCTACCCATTCCTTTTGTTGGGAATACTTGAGTGCTTTTAGTCAAACTCGCATAGTTGGAGTTGCTTCAAAGCTATATTTAAGAAAATACAAAATTCAGTTATATGAGTTAAGTGTTGTATCATAGATCTTACATATGAGTTTCTTCTTATTTCCAAACGTAAATAATAATAGAAGGCAAATAATAAACGCAATATAATCAACGTGATTCCTGTTCACTAAACTTTTGCAAAATGGCATGTTCCACTGTGAGTCAAGCCGCAGATCTCTACGTAACATTGAGCGATTTCGTTCCAGCCTTCTACTGCGATGGATTTGTCGATGTAACACCTTTCTTGACCTGTGTTAGGGCACGGCCAGCGCTGGTATTGCCTAGTTTGAGATCACAAGTTTTCACACATTGAGGATGACTGCTAGTTCCAAGCATCAGGATTTTCCAGTTATCAAAGGATCACATTTTAGTCCTTGTTACTTTTTATGACTTGATAAGGTAGTGACCACCGCCCCGTTCTGCATTTATATATTGTATATTTCAAATCAAAAATATATAATAATATAAAATATAAAATAAATAGATTTCACATAATCCTTTTCCCTTTCTCCTTTTCCTTTCCATCTTCTCATTTCAGAAAGCGAGTAATGGCGCTATAGCCATAAATCATAAAAGGCAAGAGTTAGTGCTCATGCCCCAACCGTCAGAAGAAAATGGAGCATCACTTAACCTTTCTAGCTTTGATGATTCCAACGACCAACCAATCATATAATCACAGACAAACAGACATAACACATTGAATATTTCTCAATGTAAAACATCGTCGCTAAAACATTACCGCCATCTGTTGAGTACACTGTGGTGGGTAGTACGCTGAACAGATGGCGGTAGTGTGTAAACGTCAAACGCAAAGGAATTGAGTATGCGCGCTGCATGTGGCGGTACTACCAACTACGATACTTTTGAATTGACCGTTAAATGCTTGTTCGATGAACAACTTGCGAGTGTTATGTCTGTTTGTCTGTGATATAATTATCAAAATCGGAACGTACGGTACGAGATGTCCACGTTTCATCCATTTATTGGATTCTGAAGCATCGTGTTTTAATCGAAGAATCGGCCCGATGTTTTCTGAATCATCTTGCCCCTTAAATGCTGCTCAGTAGGCCTGGCCGTTTTGATATGTGTGACGCGTCTTCGATGTAAAACATATATCTAATAGACAAGAAAAATGATGTAGGTATATATATCATTTTCCAGGATGCTTTCAAGAATTGGCTGTGTTAGATTAGATAAGATTAATGAGTATAAAAATACACATTTTTGACTGGCACTACATTCTTAAAATGGGTATTTTTTTAGCACATTTTAAGATCTCAAAATTCACATATTTTTAGACAGCTGCATATAAATCAGTGCGCAAAACAGTCAGGTTCATTGAGTCATGTTGATATGAATATGAACTGCCATTTGCCTCATCATTCACTGCCTCGTGAGAGTCTGAATGATTGAGAGGTAAACGAGTCACTGACAGCCGAACAGTCAGTCAGTAGCTCAGTCAACACGTTTATTCTGCCGTGATGGCACCCAATATTTGTTTTGAATGACTGAGCGTACATTTTCTATGGAAAAATGACTCAATTACATGCTGTGTGAGCGAAGGCAACTGACTGAATGTTTTTTTGTTGGCTCTTTCATTGTCTCGTCCTTTAACGTTTGGTACAAACGGTCTGCACAGAGCAATGGATTGAATAGTGCAGTGCTTTCACACTCAGCCTTAGGCAGTCAATAATTTTAAGCTTTGATATAAATATAAAAAAGTGTATTTTTTTACCCATTTATGTGTTTACGCTGGTTTGTATCAAAGCATACCAGTCCCGCCGGTGGTGTAGTAGTAAGCGTGACTACCTCTCACTCCAAAGAGCCTGGGTTCAATCCCAGTCGGTGCCGTCGGCATTTTCTGAGACATAAAATCTTTGATCCACACCTTCCTTCGGAAGGGAAGTAAAGCCGTTGGTCCCCGGTCCATGAGTTCATGGATCGATAGGTAGGGTCCAGGTGTGGAAACTGCCTCTCTGACGTCGGTAATATTGGTACTCAGTACGGAAAACAAAATCGACGGAAAACAAATCAAGAAAAAAAAAAAAAATGTTTCGAACAAGCAGGGTGGCCAAACCTACCTGTTTATCGGTAGTCCTACCGATTTTCGGGATGCCTACCGATTCACAGACGAAAGGTTCAAAACTACCGATTTTTTGCTTTTCCTACCGCGAATTACAGATTTTAAGTAATTTTGAAAAACGTTCAATACCTACGTTTTGTTTTCCGTGTAGTTAGTCAATTTGAATGGACGCTATGCGTTTTGCAACTTCAATCCAAGAGGATGTGTTTTTTTTTTACTTTTAATCGACTTTCTCTGTATGTATCTTAGCGGAGATGCTATTTTCTGTTTCTCCTGTTCCGTTCGTCATAGTCAACACTTACAAGAGATACTCAATATAACCGGGATAGGCAAATTTTTGATCAACTCTGGAGTGTTCATACTTCGTCAAATATGGTCCGATTTTAATTCTTCCAAAAGCGTTCGATTGGAAAACTAATCAAATTTAATGGAGTGAAAATGGAAGTGACCATGGTTGCCGGATACCGGAGATGTTCCGGGTTTCCGGAGGGCAGTTCAAATTGCTAAATTTGTGATGAGTTTTTCTCAGCGTGTCCGTTACTAATATGAGTGTTTTGTTCATACACCGAAAATAGAACTATTTTCAAAGCGAATGACGCACCAAGAGCTAAAATTGGCCCAGAATGTAAATATCGCCATTTTCCTAGAATCTGTCCTGACGGAGGGTTCTGAGTGCGGTCAGTTCATATATTCACTCAAAACATGCCGTGTGACACCTCTTTCTCTTTTTCTTCAGTAGGATTTCTAAAAACTTTAAATGGATCATTGACCACATTTGCCACTTCCGGAGCCACCGGAGTGCCCCCGGGGGAACCTGTAATAGGGGACGAATTCATTTTTTTACAAAAAATAAATAAATATACACACTTAGAAATAACTAATTTTACACGTGACGGAATTCGTCTTTGACGTAAAAGATGAGACGTAAACAAACATGTCATGTAATATTAAGTGCTCTGAGACTGAAAAGTTCGTTGCTCGACGAAAAGTACGCTTAATTGAGCTACATTTGCGTCTGTTATGACTCAAATTTATGTCAAAATTTACACTCGTATATGTCACTCTCAGAGCACTTAAATTTACATTTTTTTTCTAGGTGTGTATAAATTAATAAATATATGTTGATAAAAAGCTCATTTTAGCAGATTTGTAGATGACATTGCTATTGATTAGCTTGTTTAGAATTAATGTCCATTTGATATTGACAGAGTTATAAGTGGTCAAAACTTGACTACTTTTCGTAACGCGATCGATTTTGGTGTTGCCTGTGTTGCCAAAAGGCATAATCCTCCGTCAAAAATAGTGGCTGTAGTAAATCATTATATCAGTGATTTTGTCAAATTATCTTAACAAAAAATAGTAGAAATTCTTATTACTGATCATTATCAAACGTATCCCATGGCAATTTAATGCTCACTGCGTGTTTATGATCATTTCTTCGATTATATTTTATATTTTATTGCAATACCTTTCGTGGACCTTTCATAGCATCGTAATGTTTGTTTACTTTGCACTATTGCAAGAGCAAATTTTCATTACGTCGAATGTAACAAAGGTAAACAAAGTCGAGCTATCAGTGTCAATCGATTCTCCTGCTATTACACTATATACTGTCCGAATATAGGATCAAATCCCATTTTTAAATTTATTTGCCAGTCAAATTGCTTTTTTTACGTAATCACCTTACGATCAAGATAGTTTTCGATGTAACTTAAGTCACCCAATTTCTATGGAGATGCCGTTTGACTTAAGTAACAGCGCTGAGAAACCCGTGAAAAGTGTACGTTCGTCGTTTCGCTTTCTCATTATTAAAGTGAATAAATCGAACTGTTTGTTGCTAAGATGATTTCGGTAGTCCTAAAATGATGAATGGGCTGCACGTAAGGAGACGTAATTGATAATTCTCCCTAATATCCTGGTAAATACACTTTGACTTAAGTAACAATAGGGGCCACCAAACGACGTATAATAACTTTTGACTCAAAAACCAGTATTTTTAGCATGAAAACTAGCGATTTGCATTTGTATGATTAAAACCCTGCTAAATATGTTAAACATTGCTATCACTATGAGATTATATGAGTTTACTTGGAAATAGGAATAACTTTTCGGTCATCAAAACAAAACATTATTTTTCTCGGATTGGTGCGAATGTTACTTACGACATAATGAAAATTTGCTCTTGATTGGTAGTCGGTTTGACAGTTCAATAGGTATATTTGGCTTCACTCTTGGCGTGACTCATTATACAACGACTCTAGATTAGACTAGCCAATGTGTGAGGTTGAAGGACTGATGGCTCGGTTCGAAAGTCCAAAATAGCGCGTTATTTGTTTTCATCCTTCTCCCGCTCACAAAGGTTATAAGTTTTGAGAAGCCTTCTTAAGACGGCCTACCGATAAAAGTTTTGAGAAGCTACCGATAATGAAAAAAATAATCTGGCCACCCTGCGAACAAGTACCAAATAAATTATCACACTAAAGCTTCATGCTAACATTTCCAACCAACTCTGAAAACGCTAACTTCGCGTATGAAGTAACATAAAAACACTTTGAATGAAAGTACCAAATGTTTACATTCATTACATTTCATTCGCAGTCCGAAACGCATAGGATAGTAATCGCCAACAGAAAAGATCAATAATATCAATGATTCCACCGTATACAAATCAATAATAGATTTGTTCCGATGCGTTAGTTCATTACCTACAACATTCTATAAGAGCGTATCGTATGAATATTTACGCTCATTGTTCTCAAAACAAAAGAAGCGCTCCTAGCGAATCCCCTTTTTCTACGTTCATCCGTAGGACAAACAAAATCCAATGGCGTTTCATGTTTTCAATTCGATGCTTAGACATATATAAAACGTTGAGCAACACTTAAGCTGGGTTTAGACTAGGCAAGTCAAATGATCAACTCAGTTGAATTCAATTGGCTTAAAAAGTTGAGTCTGTTTCAACTTTTTTCAATTCAAGTGAGTTGATCAAGTCAGTTGAATGTCATGGTTTAAACGTTCAATTCGTGTTCAAGTCAGTTGAATTCAACTGACTTGATCAATTGACTTGCCTCGTCTAAACCAAGCTTTGCAGTATTTAATAGACACTGCATTTCACACGTAAAAACTGTCTTTTGAACAGTTATCCAGTGATTTTTTTTATGAACTGACAAACTTTGTATCTTGACAAAGTTAACTCTAACGGATTATTTTATATGGATAGCTGTCATAACGACTTTTGTAATAATTATTGTAGCTCTGCAAAAACTATTTCTGTTCGCCACGACGGTGATGATGGATTTTTGATATTTGATTTAATAGTAGATTAATTAAAAAAAAAAAGTAGTCTACAAAGGTTTGAGCCTCGCGCGCGTATTGCGGATATAGAGGACTGAATTTAACATTTGAATAAAAAAAATGCAATTTTGAAGCTTATTTCTAAGATACCTTGAGTTAGCAGTAAGTTTTCTGGCAAATGTTGGGGGTTCGTGACCATTCCTGACATTCCTGAAAATTATGATAACATCAGATTGCAGGGTTACTAGTGTAATAGGATGCTTTGTTGATTGTTCATTAACTCTTGATTGTTTGTAATACTTATGAATATTTTAGGTGGACAAAAAGACGCTGTGAAGCAACTGTAAACTCTAGAAGGAAATTTATATCTCTAACTGTAACCAGTTCAATTTTGTTTGCAAACCTGGTTAAATTGTCATATTTAATTACCTTAAAGATAAATCGTCCAGCTCAAACCTTTGTAGGGGTAGGAGGTGGGACCATCATCATCATCATCATCACCCCCTACAAGAGCTTATGTTTGATTGTCACATGAGGTGACAATTGTCACTTCACTAGTGACAGTGAGTCACCTCACCATGCCACGCAGAATAGGCCTATGTTAACTTCACGCATGGAGTAATACAAACATGATTACTTGAAGAAAATTAACAACTTGTCATCTGAAATGAATTAACACAACATAACTGCACCTGCCTAAAATGTGGATTAAGCACTTACACAGTATTGAATGTATACTCTGAAATACTTGTTTTTATTTCTATGGTAAAATGTCAATTATAATGTGGCGCTAATGTGGCTAGCATGTCAAAACGTCATGTCGACGTTCGCCACACGACACGCGACATCAACATGATGTTTTGATGTGTTGTATGATGGGCTGCCCGGCCTAACAATTCATAAATATTAAAATTTTATTATTATTGGAATCCATTCTAATGCTACAGCCTATAAGTAGTTTGGCCATAATCGCATATTAAGCTGAATTAAATAAACTGCAACTTAAAAATGTCATCTCATTCCTTCAATTTTAAAATAATTCGTTATCTAAAAGAAACGGTAGTGGTAGGTAGATGTCTCATCTAATCCAGCTTCAAGACTTTTGCGAGTATCCGTAGGAGTTGAGCTCTGAAAAATAATTTGATCATTAATCGAAAAAAAAATACATACATACATTGATAGTGATGACAATAGCATACCCTAGCATACCCTAATAAACAAATAACATAAACGAACGATAATCAAAATCATAGTATTATTGCACGAATGGTTTGAAAGATACTCCGAACAACTCGTTACGAACTTTTTTAAAGATATTTTTAATAGAGTAGTCCAGAGTAGCGAGGGTCTCCCAGACAATCAAAATGCACGTATATTCAAAGTGGATTCTGTGATATATATAAACATAGGGGAAATGGATGTTATGTCGGCCTAAATGCTCCTAATTTGGGCCTATACTCATATCTATTCAGGAATTGTCTAAATTCTCAATAGTGACAAAAAATATCTATTAGTATCGTCCCAATGAAGCGTTCATGTAGATAAAATTGATAAATAGCAGATTTTTAGCGATGGGCTCAATCTTAGATCCATAGGTCGAGCAATTTTCCCTATATACAAACAAACAAATCGTATATAATGTCAAACTTTTGCTTATACGTACACAAGTGGAGGACATATACGTGTACATTTTAATTTATTTCTACACGAGTGTATTTAACATCGATAACGATTAAATCTGTTCTAAGGATAAGCAAATAAGGTAGTGGAATTAAATAGAAATTACTAATCCTTCTCTCTCTCTCTTTTTTATAAATTTAATTTGAAAAGTCCTGCATCGTTATCCAATTTAATTTGTGATACAGTACGATGAAAAAAATATTCATCGAAAATAAGTCGGAAATTTGCATTCTATACGATTTAACTTTCACATAATGCGATGTAGGTCATTCTTACACGAGGGGTTTCTACCAAGCTTGTAAGGTAATCGGTAGTCAAAAATTACCACAAATTATTAAAATATTTAGTGAATTTTGAATTACTCAGTAATGTCAATGTAATAAAAATAATTTTGGGTAATTTATGGGTAATTTCAGTGATTGCTACTGCTTGGAAAATAATTTGGCAATTTTAAAACAATCCTCTGCCAAAAAGGAGGGTTGCTAAAGCCATCACCAAGCCTGAAAAAATAGGGGTCCATTATGCAACCCTAGATGCAACCAAATCAAATCGACTCTTTCATATTAGTGCTTTTACGACACATGCTCCGAAAAATGCTTCGTTTGGATATCTGCGATGAGGCTTCAGTTCTTCATGAAGGAAAGATAGATCAGTGCACGGTCCCTAACCTCACTTTTTGCTCCCTATCATTTTGCTTCTGAGTAAAAAAGATAGCAACGAATGGGAGCCAAAACAAACCACCCAAAACTGTCAAAACTTACGGGTGAGAGAAGAGTGCGGCAAATCTTCGTGAACTGATCAATACGAATAAGTTTTAGCAATTGCCGTTGACGGCGACTCTGTCGCTCTTTACTCCTATGAGAAAATCCATTAGCAAACGTCAGACTGTGCGTGAAAGATGGCGGACTTTGTACTATCCTTTCACTCCATCGAAAATTCCCATAAGAAGCTGTCTATATTTGCTGGAAGAGCAAATTTTTCGACGGTGCCGTCAACGCCAATGACATCATGACATCAGCGCGCGTAATCAGGGGAAACATGTCAGAAGGGTATAACTCGAAACGTAAACAATTACTTTGAACGTCGATTTCTCTTGAATGATCACACACCCACGGAATCTAGCTCATAGAACAAACATTTCTCTGTCAGATGATTTAGTTAGTTTGAGTAGGTGTGTAGTCATTCGTAAGAAACCGACGATCCAAGTCATTGTTTACGTTTCGAGTTAGACCCTTCTGACATGTTTCCCTTGAAATGTCCAAATCCAAATCAAAACAAAAGCAGCAGACGAGTCTCGCTATATTGAAACACAGTATTTACCGAGGGGGGCGACACCTCTAAATCTCAATTCTAGATGCTCAAAAAATCTCACACTAGCGAATAAATCTTCGAAAAATCTTCTTTCATTTCTCGTATCTACTTGCATCGGGCATCATCTTTTTGCAGGAAATCTTCAAAATCGTGATAAATCTTCTTTCTATCTACTCAGCGTACGCGCAGCTAGCCACAGCAAAACACAATATTTCCTGCATCGTAGATAGAGTCGTCCCCCTCGGTATTTACAGTAAAGCTTTCAAATTTCGGTTATTCAATGAAACTTTTTTTAAACCCAGTTTGAAATATGAGTTTAACATGGTTCAGTTTTGTTTTTACTGTGCAGCTCATTTTTATTAATCGAGCTTAGATGTCTTCGTATTTCTTTAACAATCGTTGGAAACATTGTTAATCATTGAATAATTGAGTAATTCCAAAGTAATTCCTAAAACTATTCAAGTAATCGTAGTAATTTCGGTAATCGAGAGTAATAAAAGTAATTTTAAAGTAGTAAAGTAATGTTATTTAATTGGAAAGTAATCTGAGTAATTTTCGGTAATTTGGCTGCCACTGACCGGTAATAAACGCTGGTAGAAACCCCTCGTTCTTACATGCGGTGTTGCCTTAAACTGTAGCAATTTACGATACTGTACTGTACGTACATTGTTATACCAATTCTGGGCTAGTATAAGAGAGGAGCGGATTCAAAAGAAACTGCCTTGGCAACCTATTCCTAGGATATTTCTAGCAATACTGTCAATGCAATTTAAATAGGTGCGCTCGATTGGCTCTGGCTTTGACAGTTCGTTTGGCTCAAAACCAGCCAGTCCGCTCCTCTCTTATACTAGACCCTCTCTAGTCAAGAGTATCAAAGCCGCCAAATTTGTTTCACCTTCTTTTTCGATCGCAGTAGGCTCTATTCGAATGTGGATGGTTTTCATTTTCGCTGTCAAAATTACCATTAATTTTAAGTGTCTTCGATTGTAGATGAAGCCATTTCTGATTTCCAGAGTCAGAGTTTGGTGAGATCTATCAAATTATAACTCATACAGTTCGAAAAAGTAGTGTAAATTTCTGTTCATTGCTATGCACAACATAAATGGAGCGTCACATATCATAGAAGATTACATTATAAGTGCTGTAAATGTCTGAGACATTTCATGAAATGATGCCAATATTGAATACAAAAGCCCATCATTGCTTACAAGTTGCTCGTTTGAGTGAAATAAAATACAAGTTTACGTGAATGAATGTACGTGGTTTTAAGAAGAACAAGATTAGAAATAGGAATGTTTGTATTAATAATGGTAGTGTTAACAAACAGTACTTACTATTTGTGAATGTTACATTAGAATGGGTGTGTATACCAAACATTTTGGAATGAATTGCTGAATCTGCCATACTTCGTTAGCTCTCCTGAATAGCATGGTCATTGTAACCAGGTTCCGTATATTCCGGGATAAAGCCGATCCACGGATATGGTTACCTGACCTGACCCAGGAACCTACCGGAATATGTCAGGCCATAAATACAAAACAACCATATTAATATATTATCATAAAACTTTTACCCTTCTGCTCTGAAATTTGTAAACGAATATCAAAAACAAATATAAGCACATGCCCACAATTTTTTGTTTATATCTGCCTAAAATATATTAAGAATGTTGAATGTAAGCGTTCTTGTTACAGGTAACTATTTATTTTTACAGCCATTCCATAGCAAAACGATATAATGGTTCTCAGAATTTCATAAAAATTGGTAGTTTTGTTCCTTATCGCAAAATATTAGACCCATATTTTTTTGTTGTCATTAGGGTGTCCATTTCCATGTTAGGGTGGTCCAAAAAATCGAGAAAAACAGTGGAGAGATAGAAAACTATGCCCAAAAAAAGCAGCCGCTTGTTTCAAGCATCGGAATGATGCCTATTACTTCTACAAATTTGGTACTACATACTATAAAGATTACTAACATTTATCGTACGCACACTACGTCGCGTATACGTATACACAAAATGTTTTCATCAGAAAAAAACAGCGAAAAATTTTCCTGATAAAAACAAATCACTAATACAATCACATTTTAGCAATCTCTATACAGAGATGCAATACAGGCATACCTCGATATAACGTAACTGTCCCTTTTCACTTCCATCATAAATTTCACACAAGCAACAATTCAATCACGCAAAGTAACAATACTATCGGACAGGTGAGACAATCCCCTATCTAATCGTAATGTTAATGTGTGTAGTTGGATTGTTGTTTGCTATATAAATCGAACTTAAAAGTGACCGTCGAGGTATACCTGTATATTGCAATCTCCTTTGGAATAATGTGAATTTGCAAAAAGTCAGGTTCCTCGTTCAACAAACCCTCAAGGCCCAAGCGCAATGACAGCGGAAGCGGAAAAGCCCGATCTGACTAAGACTACTTGTCGGATTGAAAACTAGTTTGAACCAAATCGACTTCGGTTAGGCATCTTGATGTCATTTTTGGCAACTGTCAAACTTTCCGTTTCCGTTCCGCTTCCACCCACATTGCGTTTGGGCCTTCATAGTCATCGACATTTCAATATCTTAAAACAATCTGCAACAACTTACCATCATATTTATCTTGATAGTTTTCTAGAAATTCAACCATAACTTTTCCATCCAACTCAGGATACTGACAGGTTCCTTCCATCCAAGTAGGCAAGCAACTTGGATCGACATGCTTTTGCAGAGCTGCCATATTGTTTCCATGGAAAAATATCTACAATTCAAAGCTCAGTCAAAATCAACAATTCAAAACATTGACACAAAGTATCATAAAAGCCCTAACCCGTTGGCTCCACTTTTTACCGATAAACGGTTTGAAGATCATGAACATCAGATCGAACACCTTGGCATTGTTGATGAGATGGATCGCTTTCACGCGCACCGAGGCGCACTTCTGTCCATAGTCGAGACTATGTTTCACAAACTTCGGCGAGAACTGCCCCAGCTGGGAGAGTTTCATCTGGTCGAAGTTGACGATGTAGATCAAACCGTTCAGTTGGGTAAGCGGTTCCAGCGATATGATGGTCAGGAGGGCATGGGCAGCCCGAACAAACTCCGGGTATGGAACTTTTGAACAGTCCCATTTTCCTGCAATAGAAAATTGATACAAATACCGGAACTAATTACGTATAAAAACCGAAACTTACCACCCATCTCCAGGAAGATGATCCTTCTTCCATGAGAGTCACGGTTTGGTAGTAATTGCACTACACGTTCCTCCAGGGCCACTCTGATGGCTTCGGTTGAAATGTTGTCCAGAACAAAGTCCTTTTTGGCTTTCATTTTATGATAGTTTTTCATCTGATCGATGATTGAAACATTATTCTAGGTCACCTTTATGGCGATTTATGGTGAATAAAAACTTACCAGCTCGTAGGCACTTTCAGGGTAATATTTCCGAGGTCGAAGAAACTTCTTAAGGAATGCATCATTGTTGTTGGGAACGTTGATATCTTTATCATCTGAAAATTGATAGAGTTTGATAAGGGTTTCGTTGCACTTCGTGGTTGCTATGCAGCTCAACAATGGGTACGTCAGTACCAATACATAAGCATTAACTAATCGCGATATATTTTCAAATTTTATACTGGAGAAAGACTTCTTCTTCTTCTTCTAGGTATTTTACGCTTCTTTTGAGCGTATTGTCGGCTCTTTACTTATCGTTCTAGCTGCAATTCGACTGCTATTAATTGAGAGCTTTCTATGCCAACCAATGCAAGCACAATGATACTCTATGCCCAGGGAAGCCAAGAACCAACCCGGAAGATCTCCGGCTTGATAATACCGTGCCTTTTACCGACTATGCCCCTTCACTGATAAAAAATTTAACCACGACGCAGTCAGCAGAACGAAAAGTAATTGGATCTTTCAGTATGCACTCGATACATACTGTTTAATAGCTCTCTCAGCTCCTGCAGTGCACTCTCGATGGTTTCCGGAGTTTCACGGAGCTCATTCTGAGCCTTTTCTAGCGATTGCTTATCACTGTACTCGGTAAAATCCAACGCCAGACGAACATCCTTCCCTAAATCAATGTAGGGTGCCTTGTTCTCGTCGAATCTAAGGGTCATTGCTCTAAATATGTGCTGTCTGACAAGCGCCTACTATTACGAGTATCGAGCAACCGGCTTAAAACACATTCACGCTCGACCTAAACCACTCGGCGACTGACACTGATCCAAGTGTGCGCTGCGCAGAAAGAGAAGAGAAAAGCCATTAGCCGTGGATACATTCGCTGCTTGTGTATTCTGCTTCGCGAGGTACTCCGCGATGTGGGTGAAAGATATGAATTGAAGAAGAAATGCAGTCCGCTGTTTGTTGACAGGGGTGAAGTTGAAACTGCTGGTTCTTATGACGGGTACCTAATTTTGAATGGTTTTGAAAAATATCTTCATTGATGTTTGACGAAGTGAGGAAGATTCGAATCTAGATGGAAAAAGTTTTCATATAAGAAACTTTCTTCGTTTATCTCATAAAAAAATGCAATAATTTCAATATGATAAAGACACCTCATGCTAGTGCATAATGCCTAATGAAATTTTATAATTAATAATTTAACTATTTGGGTAATCCTTTAGATATATGTTACGTTTTCATCTATGATGCAATACTCTGGCTAAAATCATTAACATTAAAGCATGAAAGCATTACAAAAATCTAAATAGCATGCACCAAGCATTACATTTCTATAAAAATCAAGAGATAAAATGAAGTGACCAAGCGTTCAACCCTGATCATCAAACAAATCGCCCCTTATTATTTTTGATCTTTTCGTCGTCTTCGTGCCCGCGATGCCGGTCGCGGAATAGCAGCCATCGTTCATCTAAAGAACAGTACCATGTGAGAGAGGAGAGTACGTCAACGCTTCTCTGCTCGTTTCTCTTTTCTCTCCTTCATTGCTTTTATCGAATGTTTGACAATTTGAAGTATGGCGGGATCCATCAAGTTGGCGGTTTCTAATAGCGTTTATTTGTTATTTTATTATTCAGGTTGAATCCAGGTTCCAACCAGGTGCGAATCCGATCTTTTTTTTTCAGTACGTACCTTGATCCAAACAAGGTTTCAAAAAGAATCAATCGAGCTGACGAAAACAAACAAACCCTATTTTATTAGGGTGATTCAAAAAATCGATTTGCTCCACTGTGGTCAGTCGATTCTAAATCAGGTTCTGTAAATTCTCCCAAAAATTGAGCTCATTTGGTTGCGATCTCATACTGCACTGGCCTTTTGAAGTTTATATGGGAATTAAAATGGGAAAAGTATACTTTTTGTTCTTCTCGTCCTAACCTTTCGCCTAGTGTTTTATAGTACGTTCAGACTACAGAGTTATAACATGTTATAGCGCTATCTTGATGGTGCTTTCTGTGTTGCAATTATTTGACAACCGTTATAACATGTTATAACTCGCCAGTCTGGCCGGCGTTTTAGTTTGCTATTTGTAATTAAAGAAAATTTCCTCAGATAGAATTTTGCTGAAAATTACTTTTTGATTAAACATCAAGATAAGATTTCCCCTACCCGACGGCAATGCTGGTTTGCGTAGGCATGCCTTGAATTCCTAGAAATCATCGATAGAAGTCATTGTTAACAAAAGCTGTTACGCCCTTATTCCAGCTTTATCTAGAATTAGTTATTAATTACAGTTATCCCTCCATTTATGCGGTGGGTGTTACCGTCATACTGGGAATCGGGAAGCGATCATAATGAAACTCTTCGCTGCATTACGCCATTAATGTAAGTGAGAATAAGAATCTCCAACAGATACCGGCTGACAGGGTTACTTGAAATGTGACTGTTATTTGCTACAGTCAGATATTAAATGTAAGGTAAAATCCAAAGAGTTCTTGCAATTTTTTTTCAATTCATAGAACATCCTTGAAAATCATGGAATTTTTCTGAATTGTTCTCGGAATATTTCGTGAACTTCTCTGAACTTCCTCGAAGTTTTCTTGACCTCTCTGAAGTTCATTTTACTTTTCTGATGTACTCAGAACTTCTAAAAGGGACAACATTTTTCTGAAGCAAGTGGAACTGCTTTGATGAATTTTTTAACTACGCGAATACTCACAGAACTTCCTTTAAAATATTTAGACTTTCCAGAATTTTTTATTGATTTCCCAAGTATTCCCAAAATTTGTCTGGAATTATAGCAAGTATCTGAAGTTTTAACAATTTACCAAAAGTTCTTGCAAATTCTATAAATTTTCTGTAATTTCCATGAAGCTAATGGCAGGGGTATTTAATCCACCCTGAAGTTCTCGAAACATTTTAGAGTTTTTTAAATTATGTTACCGGCGGGTAACATTGTTTTCATATCAAGAGCCACATGTGAAAAGGGCATACAAGCTTTTTGTAAACAGGCCCTTTTCTCGCCAACCGAGGGTCGCCCACGTAAACCAACAACGATGAAGGAGAAAGCTTCCCTTACCCGCTAATGTTGATGGTTTGCGTTGGTGTCATATGGGTGGCGAGAAAAGGACATAAGAAGGTTTGTTTACAAAAAGCTTGTATGCCCTTTTCACATGTTATTCTGGATATGTTGTTTATCACCCGATCTCTACCCGTCACCACCAAAGCCCAACTAGGTTTGTTCGCCATCAATCAATCATTCATTTAACCGGTGACCGTAGCGTTTGATAGGTTCCCTTGTCCGAAAACTCTCCCACGCCCGTACGCCTTGAGACCTGGAACTATCAGAGGCCGTGAGTGCTCACCCCGGGAGCTGTCGTAGGCTTAGACCGGCAGCTTGGGGCTTTGACAGGTCCTCCTCCAGGTCCTAGCGGTTCCGGGGCCTAAAAGTGTCTTATAATTCTCTGAACTTAATAGAACAGTCCTAAGCACCACTAAGCTTCATTAATAACCTCTGAACTTTGGTGGAACTCTTTCAAATATTATGAAGTTTTCACATCTTTCAAGTTTATGCACCACTTGAAAATTATGGGATCATCTCCAAATGTCTCGCTATTTGTCTAAAATTAATGGAACTGCTGTATTATTTCCTGAAGCTCCCTCAATTCTCGAAACTGCTCTGAAACATGTGGAACATATTTTAAAATGTTCCCTCATTCTTGAAGTTGTCGAAGTTTATTGACTCTTGTATTCTCGAAGATTTCCAGAAAATGCATAACTTCCCTGGAGGTCATTGAACTATCCTGACATTTGCGGTACTTCTAAAAGGTTCCCTTTATTTTCTTGAAATTAAAACGAAATATTTTATGTAGTTCTTAGATATTCAATGAATAAATTTTCCTGACATTCATGAAACTGCCCATAAATTATCGAAAATAGTTCTTCAACATCTTAAAACTCACCCAAAAGTCTAGGCTTTCCTGATGGTATTGGAACTGCCCAAAAGATCTCTGCACTTCTTTAAAGTTATCTAGACTTCTCTGATTTGTTCAGTATTTTATAAACGTACCCACTTTTCTTTTGAAGTTAATTGGATTGCCACGATGTTCCTAGAACTTCAACTCGTTATTTTCTAGAAATTTAGAAAACTTTTTGGAAGCTCGCGTAACTTTCTTCTACTCTCCCCGAACGCGTAAGTTTATTCTACTCTTCCTGAGCTTCCCTGAAGTTCTCTAAATTCTCGAGGTATCAGAATAAATCCTTGGAGCTCCTTGAAAGTTTCTGCAATTTTGCTGAAATTAATGGGATTGCCCTGAAGTTCTTAACATCCTCGAAGTACTCGGAACTTTCCTGAATAAACTGAAACTACCTATCTTTTAAATCCTGTAGACTTTCGGAGATTTCAGAACGCCTTAAAAAAGTTCGAGATTTACTTGAAATTAATGGAACTGTCTTGATGTTCTCTAATCATCGACAAGTCATTGGTCTCAGCATTATTTTTTTAAGTTGTAACCACACGGGAAAAAATCCGATCTCCGAAATGAGAAAAATTACTCATGATTTCATGAACACAGCGTATTTTCCTGTTATGAAAATACACCATGAATAATATTCATGATATCATGAGCAACTTTTGCGTAACGCAGCAAACATTTCCAAAATCATGAATCATCCTAATTGAAATCATGAGCTAAATTCATGGCTTTAACTTTTAATCAAAAAATGTAAAAAAGAATAAAATAAAGCATCAGACTGGATTCGAACCACGAACCTTGAGATCACTAAACCCATACTTTGACCACTAGACTATCAGTACTTGTCTAAGATGGAAGGCAACAGGCGTATAAGAGATACCTATGTAGTGCGGTTTATGAACACGGTTTGCCAAATACGTGTAACGCTTTTAGCGGTCTTGATTCCTCTGCATTATGAAATCATGAATTTCCATCCCGAAATCATGAATCATTGTTACAATTTCATGGGATGGCAAGTTTTTCCATTTCATGATTTTTTATTCATGAAAATGGAATCGAATTTGTTTCCGTGCATAACCATACATTTCTGTAACCTTCCTAACGTTTGCAAAATTTTCATGAACCTCTCGGAACTTTGTTGATGTTTTCCTTTAAAGTTCTAGCAATTTCCTTGCAACTAATTAAAAGGCCGGACACATTATAAACGCTGCCATTAAGGCATATTTCGAGTAAAATTTTAAAAAGAGTGTATAGAATCATAGTAGGCATTGGTTGTCAAGTTCATTTGTTTACTTCATGGCTTCACCGGAAAGCACGTCGCGATTGGATCCTGCACGCTCGAAACGGAAATTCCGGTCCATCCGCTCCTGTCAGCTTTCGATCAAATTCCATGCAGGAATTTTATACCTCGGTTGACTGGAAGAGTGCCCGGAAGAATGTTAAATCAAAGTCGAAGTTCCCCAAAAAGTTCCTTGTTTGGCAAGCAATCTGCAGTTGCGGGCTGAAAATCGAAACTTTCGTTACTTCTGGGACCATGAACCACCAAATTTACCAGGAGGAGTGCCTACGGAAGAGACTACTGCCTTTTCTGGAAGAGCATGAAGTGGATGGTCTATTCTGGCTAGATTGCCACTATTCAAATCCCACACAGAAAAAAAAAATCTGAATTTCAACTATCGCGTAAAATCTCCCTTCGTTTAATTTTGAGCTATACTTGGCATAAACAGCGAAATCGTTTACAAGCTTGCATACAATATTGCTAATTTACTTACTATTGCTAAGCGCTTAAATTTACACGAAAAATCGCGTAAATTTATGCCAAATCTAGCGTTAATTTTAGGTG